TGCTACGAGACTCTTTTTTAGGCCCATGATTAGTCAAATCGAAACTTGGAACAATCATCACACCATGGGTAAGAATTTGTTGGTAATAAAACATGATTTAAGCATGTTTCAATGAATCGCACAACGCACATTCGTTCGATTTGACCAATGCATGACTTTGGAAATTCCCAACAAGAGAACGTTTTTTTTAATTTCATTCTGGTGGAAAACTTCTCGTTAGAATGGTATATGGACTATGAAAATTTTCATGGCAACCCGACTCGGTCGGTCAGTACAAGAAAAACCCGAGGTTACCTCATTTTTGTATCTACCAAAAATGAGTGTTATCGCTTAAAAATGCAAATATTTTACTATATGATTCTTTTAGGCCCCTGAACAGTCAAATCGAAGCCTGGAACAAGCAGCACACATTGGGAATGAAAGTTTGTGGTAATACAACATGATTTGAATGAGTTTTGACGAACTGCACGGCGAGCGTTCTTTCAATTTGGCCGATGCGTGACTCCGTCAATTTCCGATAGGAGAACGCTTTTTTTAAGTACTTTATGGTGGAAAACATCGTATTAATATTCTAGATGAACCACTAAATTTTTTTCATTGCAATCTGATACGGTCGCTCCGGACAAGAAAACCCCAAGGGTAACCCCTTTGCGTATCGGCCAAATATGGGTGTTAATGCTTAAACGTATATAACTTTTGCAATGAAACCCTGTTTTAGGCCCATGACCAGTTATATCGAATCTTGGAAAGAACATCACGCCATGGGTATGATGTTTTTGGTAATACAACACGATTTGATTGGGTTTAGACGAACCGCCCAACGCGTATTCGTTTAACTTTGCCAACGCATGGCTCCAGAAATTTCTAGCAAGAAAAACGGTTTTTTTTTCAACTTTTATCTGGTAGAAAACATCTCATTAATATTTTAAATGGACCATGGAATTTTTCATGGCAATTAGGAATGATCAGTCTGGAGGAGAAAACCCAAGGGTACCCCATTATTGTATCGACCAAAACTGAGTGTTAACGCTTAAAAATGCATAACTTTTGTTGCAGGACTCCGTTTTAGGCTTATGACATTCAAATCGAAGCTTGGAACAAGAAGCACACCATGGGAATAAATGTTGTGGTAATACAACATGATTTGAGTGGATTATGACAAACTGCACTACGAGCTTTCTTTCTATTTGGCCAATACGTGGCTCCGACAATTTCCGGCATAAGAACGGTTTTCTTACAAGTTTTTATGGTGGAAAACATCTCATTAACATTGTAAATAGGCCATGTAAGTTTTCATGGAAATTCGGCATGATCGGTCCAAACGAGAAAAACCCAAGGGTAACCCCTTGGTGTATCGGCCAAAAATGGGTGTTAGCGAGTAAACGAGCACAACTTTTGCTACGAGACTCTTTTTTAGTCCCATGACCATTCAAATCGAAGCATGGAACAATCATCATGCCATTGGTAGGATGTTTTTGGTAATAAAACATTATTTGAGTAGGTTCTTATGAACCGCACAACGCACATTCGTTCGATTTGACCAATGCATGGCTCTGGAAATTTCCAACAAGAGAACGTTTTTTTTTTCAATTTCATTCCGGTGGAAAACATCTCATTAGAATTGTAAATGGACCACAAAAATTTTCATGGCAACCCGACACGGTCGGTCCGGACGAGAAAAACCAAAGTTTGCCTCATTGTTGTATCGACAAAAAATGTGTGTTAACGCTTAAACATGCATAATTCTTTCTATGGGATTCCTTTTAGGCTCATGACCAGTCAAATGGAAGCTTGGAACAAGCACCACACCATGGGAAGGATGGTTTTTGGTAATACAACATGATTTGAATGGGTTTCGACGAACTGCACGATGAGCGTTCATTTGATTTGGCCGATGAGTGACTTCGTCAATTTCCGGCAGCAAATTGTTTTTTTTTTCAAGTTCTTTATGGTGGAAAACATCTTATTAATATTGTAGATGAACCAATAAATTTTTCATTGCAATCTGGTACGGTCGCTCCGGACGAGAAAACCCCAGGGTAACCTCTTTGCGTATCGGGCGAAAATGGGTGTTAATACTTAAACGTGGATAACTTTTGCAACGAAACTCTGTTTTAAGCCCATGACCAATCAAATCGAAGTTTGGAATAAACATCATGCCATGAGTAGGAATTTTTTTGGTAATACAACATGTTTTGAGTGGGTTTAGACAAACCGCACAATAGGCATTCGTTCGACTTTGCCAACGTATGACTTCGGAAATTTCCAGCAAGAGAACGGGTTTTTTTTTTCAAGTTTTTTCTGGTAGAAAACATATCGTTAACATTGTATATGGACCACGGAAATTTTCATGGCAATTAAGAACGGTCGGTCTGGACGAGAAAATCTCAAGGGTACCTCATTGTTGTAACGACCAAAAATGAGTCTTAACGCTTAAAAATGCATAACTTTTACTACATGACTCCGTTTTAGCCCATGACCAGTCAAATCGAAGCTTGCAAACAAGAAGCACACTGTGGGAAGGAATATTGTGACAATACAACATGCTTTGAGTGGGTTTCGACGAACTGCATGACGAGTGTTCTTTCGATTTGGCTAATACGTGGTTCCGGCAATTTCCGGCATGAGAACGGTTTTGTTTCTAAGTTTTTTATGGTGGAAAACTTCTCATTAACATTGCAAATAGACCATGGAACTTTTCATGGCAATCCGGCATGGTTGGTCCGGACGAGAAAAATCCAAGATAACCCGTTGGTGTATCGGCCAAAAAGGGTGTTAACGCTTAAATGAGCATAACTTTTGCTACGAGACTCTTTTTGAGGACCATGACCAGTCAAATCGAAGCTTGGAACATTCATCACGCCATGGGAAGGAAGTTTATGGTATACCCTTGGAATTTTCTCGTCCGATCAAATTGTGTTGGATAGTTGCGAAACTTTATGTGGGACATCTACAATCTTAATAAGAAGTTTCACACCAAAAAGAACTCGAAAAAAACGGTTCTCGTCCATAAATTTCTGGGGTCGTACATCGGCTGGTACATACGAATGTGAGTCGTTGAAACCCGCTCAAATCATGTCGGATTGCCACCAAGCATTCTATGAGAGCTCTTTCTAACATAAACAAAATCCAATTCAATACTGAAAATGAACTTTTGGGCCAATGTTTTATGGTGCATGTGCAACCAACCAGTCGGCCATTACGCCAAGAGTATATATCTTTGGAATTTTCTCGTCTAGTCTGAGTGTTTTTGATTTTCATGAAACTATACATGATCCATCTGCAATGTTAGTGAGAATTTTTGCACCAGAATGAATTTAGAAAAAACTGTTCTCGTACCAAAAATTGTGAGGGCCATGCATTGGCCGAACCGAACTAACGTGCGTTGTACATGTTGTCAGAACCCGCTCAAATCATTTTGAATTGCTACCAAACTTCCTACGAGCTCTTTCTAACATATACAAAACCAAATTGATAGATAAAATCAGTTTTGGGTCTGACGTTTTCAAGGCGCCTGTTCTACCGATACACCAAGGCGGTTCCCTTGGAATTTTCTCCTATGGTCCGACCGTGCAAGAAAATTTCACGGGATACGTGAGCTATACCTTAGCGTATCAGCCGAACAGGCTCCCTAGAAATAGTTTGCCCGAAAACTCGTTTTTCTCTATCGGATTGGCTTCTGTTCATGCTAGAAAGAGCTTGTAAAAAGTTTGGTTGATATCCAACATGATTTAAGCGAGTTTCAACGACACACACGGTGCGTGTTTGTTCGGTTCAGGCGATACATTGCTCCAGCAATATCACTTCTTTTTATTATTATCAAAATAAATGTTTTGTAAATACGTTACTCAAAATAGGAATTTAATCAAAGTAAGTTAGCATTTTCGTAAAAATTTACCCATATTTTTAATCTTAATCCTTTATATTATGAGGATGGAGTGTAAGACAAGGTTGTTTCGATACAACATATGTTCACTTGGTTATCATCGTACAACTGACTATTATGCACTTTATTGTTTTATATATTTATAAATAAATACTAGTATATTAATTACATGCGACTACAAATTACTATTTGGAGAACTAAAACCAAAATATTATTCGTGAATTTATGATAATTATTTATATTTTTTTGGAAAGAATATAATTATATACCTATAGAATAATTTATGTGTTCATTAAAATTATATACTTTTATAACCAAACATTTGAAAACATTATAACAAAATTGGTTTATAGGACGTTTAAAATGTCTAAACATCTTAATAAAATGATTTATAAGACCAAATCAAAAAACATCTTATTGATAGTATTACAATAGGTTTATTATGACGGTTTTAACAAGTTGTTAGAACTGTTTCAAAATAAAGTATCATATTAGCTATTTTATACGACATTGTAAAAAGAAATTGTCTTTTAGGGGTCGTTTATCAAACGCTTACCCGGGTGAGCGTTTATCAAGTCACATTACCTTACCGGATGAATATGATAAGAACCATGAATCTTACCCGATAAGAGTGAGATAAGGACCAAGAGTCTTACCCGGTAAGTGAGGGTGACGACTCTTACTACGGTAAGCGCTTACCGGATAAATTGTTGTATATAATGTCGTTTTGGTGGACTAAAATCTTACACAGTAAGTAAATAATAGTGTTAAATTTTATCTGTAAACGCTTACTGAGTAAGTGTTTGATAAACCGCCCCTTAGTTACGTACACTCGTAAATTACGAAAGTGTCACCTGCGAAGATAATGACGTTTTGGATAAAAGGGGAAGATGAATAATTAGAGGAGCAATTTAGACAAGAGAAACGTTCAATTTCAAACAATTTCCCTTTTAATTGTAGCGAAAGAATTGGAGTGAAATCAAATATAAAGACAAACTTTGGCAAATACAAGATTTGTCGAATACTATGCATCCGGCTGTCGCGGAGAAACATAGGCGTCTCCTTAGATTCTACCCAATTAACCAAATCACTCAGTCTGCATGTCATCAACTTCATGGCGGAATCCTCCTTTGAGATAGAGTTCTCCTCCACCTACCACCACCGCCGGCGGCCTCGCCACACCACTCCAGCTCTCTCCCACCACCAATCACCAGCCTTCTCATTCTCCAGTTCCCACACCTCTCCATACCCGACTTCACGTAGGACCCACGTACCCCCCACCACTCCTTTCGCCTCCGAAAACGACAGATCATGGCAGTCGGAGATCTCATGGCAGTTCGAACCCACCAGAAACAACCGTGGCAGCAACCTTGGCGCCGCCTTAACCCCATGGGCTGAACCAATCCCCTCCGTGCCACCTACGCCTGGCAGCCGTGTCTTTCGCCGGTCAGCAAATGACTATTTCCTTTCTCGTACTACCGCTGGAGGTGGCGGCGGTGGCAGTGGCAGTGGTGTTGGTGGTAACTTCCGTAGTTTTACTAATCCGTCCTTCGAACAGTCCAGTTACAGCCGTGTGCCATTGGGTAGAATCGAACTCGAAGGCTACGTTGCCAAAAGTAATCGTAACGAAAACCATCATCGACAAACTAGTCCCACCAAGTCTGCTATTTTCGCAAACAGTACGGATAGAAAAAAGGGTCATTTAGCCGGTAATAATGAGCTTAGTGTGACTGACGACGATCTAGAGAACGAAACGAGCAGTAAACACAACCGTGATGGTTATGGTTATGGTCGAGATGCTCAAAAACAGTCGAGTCCTCATCAGGTTTATGTTCGTGATGGAGATCTTGATGAAGAGGAGGATGATGGTGATGATGATTATGAACCTGAACCCCCAAAATCTGTTGGGGTTATTGGGTTGTTTAAGTATTCAACAAAGTTGGATATTGTTCTAGTGATATTAGGGAGTTTGGGAGCTTTGATCAATGGAGGATCTCTACCTTGGTACTCTTTTCTTTTTGGGAAGTTTGTCAACAAAATTGCTTTAGATGATGATAATGACCAGATGATGAAGGATGTCGAAAGGGTAATCAACATTTCTTTCTGCTAAACAAAGACGTGTAAAATGTATATTTTATAGGACTTAAAAGTTTATATGACTAATTAAAAAGCATCTAATATTAGGTTTATAGGACGTTTTTAGGCGTTTTAACAAGTTTATTAGGACCATTTTAAAACAAAAGTGTCGTATAAGTTATTTTATGCGACACTATTTGAAAAAGTATCATGTAAACACAAGTGATAAAAAAATGGGTTTACATAACACTTCTCAAAAGTGTAATATAAAAATAGCTAATAGGACATTTTTATTTTAAAAGGGCCATAAAAAGCTTGTTAAAACGGCTAAAAACGTCTTATAAACCTATTGTAAGGATTTTAGATAGAACGCTTTATAGTTAGATCGTCTAACTTATGTTCTATAAAGTATCGAGACGTCTTATAAAGTCAATTGTGTTGTATTGTGATCTCTATTTTTATATGAATCACTACAACAAAATCGATTTTATATAAACGGTAAATATGCTTAAATGTCATTATAGACCGCCCAAAAGCGTCGTTTGTAGCACTTGTAAATGAGTCTATTAAGACATTTACATATTTGATGTCATATAAAGTTAGATTTTGTTATGATGAACTAATTTGTCTTCATGATCCTTGTTCCTCTGGCATATGAACTTTAGATATGTGTACTCATGGTGGCATTGTCCGGGCTAGTCGTGATCGGAGCATACTTACGTAAGCCCCATCATTCTTTCTCTGAGATTTTAACAAATTTGCTTTTGATCTTACATTTCGTTATATTACACTGCTTCACAGAGATTGCTTGTTGGCGATTGGTGGGGGAAAGATCCGCTCATAGAATAAGAACCGCGTATTTGAGGTCAGTTCTACGCCAAGATGTCAGCTTTTTCGATACAGACATTAGTACCAGCGATATCATGCATGGGATCTCAAGCGATGTCGCCCAAATCCAAGAAGTTATGGGAGAGAAGGTACAACTTTGAACTCTGAAGAATAATCTATGGGGTTCCACGTATTCTCACAACGAGCATTGATTGGTGTTTTTGAAACACAGATGGCGCATTTTGTTCATCACATATGCACCTTCATCTGTGGCTACACCGTTGGGTTCATAAGGTCGTGGAAGGTCTCTTTGGTGGTCCTTGCAGTTACTCCATTAACAATGTTTTGTGGGATCGCGTATAAGGCAGTTTATGTCGGATTAGCTACGAAAGAAGTGGTATGAACCGATAAAAAGACCATTTGAGTTCAAGTATGCCTACATACACACATATATAGAGAGAGAGGGGGAGGTTTAGGAGAAAACCCATAAAAGACGAAAAACTGAGGAACACTCTTATAACCATTCATTTGTACGATATGTACATGTGCATACAAGTAATTGAAGTCGTTTATTGATTACCATACACTTGTGTATATAGGACAAATTACTTGTATGCACATGTGCATACGATACAGATGAATGTTTACCAGAGTGTTCTTCAGTTTTTCAATTTTTGTGGTTTTCGCTAACCTGACCCTATATATATACATATACATATATATATATGGTTGGGTTCATGTGAGACCAGTTTGATTTCGTGAGACGCATTAGACCATAGGTACGAAAAAGACCGAAACTTCACAGCAAAAATATTGTGAAGGTTCAGTGTTATTTATGTGGTCTCGCAGCTCTCGCGAAAACAGTCTCATCTGTCAACTGAATTTTGTTTCAAATTAAGTGCAGAATTCTTACAAGAAAGCCGGTGGCATAGCGGAACAAGCTATAAGCTCGATCAGAACCGTGTTCTCTTTCGTGGCTGAACAGAAGTTGGCCGATAGATACGATATGTTATTAGAAGAGTCTGTGCCTGTGGGAAAGAAACTTGGTTTTGCAAAGGGTTTGGGAATTGGTGTTATATATTTGGTTACTTATGCAACATGGGCCTTGGCATTTTGGTACGGATCCATTCTGGTTTCAAGAAACGAGCTATCTGGTGGTGCCGCCATCGCTTGCTTCTTTGGGGTCAATGTTGGTGGCAGGTAAACAACTCTTATATCAGCTAAACTTGAAAACTTTTTTTAAAGGGTGTCTTAGATTATGTCTAGACTAAGAAACCAGCAAATTGTGACAGCAAGAAATCAGCCGTGATAAATTGAGTGGTCATAATTATTGTGTATGCCTGGAATCGAACCCTAGCAGATGGAATATTCTAACATATCCCCCGGCGCATCAACCACTACGCTACAACCCTTGCGGTTGGAACCTTCGTTCTCTTCTAAGGGCTCTTTAAAAAGTACTCCAATGAGGTTCCACATATTCTCGATGCTCAGCTGTACATGATTTGTGCAGGGGTTTGGCGCTATCACTGTCGTACTATGCTCAATTTGCACAAGGGACCGTAGCAGCTAGCAGAGTGTTTGAAGTTATCGATAGAATCCCTGCAATTGATCCTTATTCTACGATGGGGAGAAGGCTCTCGGGTGGCCATGGAAAAGTCGAGTTTAAGAATGTTTCTTTTGCTTATCCATCTCGGCCAACTCTTCCGATTCTCAACTCCCTTAATTTGGTGGTTCCATCTCAACGGACTTTAGCGCTAGTTGGCGCCAGCGGTGCTGGGAAGTCCACGGTTTTCGCTCTTTTAGAGAGGTTTTACGATCCTGCTGAGGGTAAGCTTTCTAATCCACTCGAAGTCGAACCTGGTTTTTCTGCTACTGTGGCTTACGACTAGGGGTGTAAACAAGCCGAGCCGAGTAGTAGGTTATTCGAGCTCGGCTCAAAAAAATTATACCAAGCTTGAGCTCGAATAATTTTTCAATGTAGGGCTCGAGCTCAATTTTTTTTTTGAGTTATCAAGCTCAATCTCAATGCTCATTTATGGGCTCGTACCTGTGTGATCGATTAACTCGTTTATTGGCTCGAGGTTGATAACTTTTATATTTTTATTGTATTATTTATGATAATATGAGCATATTTGGCTCGAAAAAGTATATGCTCGAACGACTCATCAGGGCTCAACTTGAAAATTTTAATCAAGCTTTCGAGCAAGCTGTGTCGAACATTGGTTTTATGAAGCTCGACTCGTTAAGTTAAACGAGTTCTATTTTATGTTCGAGATAGACTCGAGCTCGAGAATTATTAAGCTCGAGCTTGAGATAAACGAGCTCGAGCTTGAGTAGCTCGTTAAAATCTCGACTTGTTTACACCCCTACTTACGGCTGGTATATGCAGGTCTTGTAACATTGGATGGTCATGATATAAGGACTTTGCAAGTGAAATGGCTAAGAAGTCAAATGAGCATGGTGGGTCAAGAGCCTGTTCTTTTTGCAAACACAATTCTTGAAAATATTATGATGGGTAAAGAGAATGCCACCAAGAAAGAAGCCATTGCAGCTTGTGTTGCTGCAAATGCCCACAAATTCATATGTAATTTACCCGAAGGTTACGAAACACAGGTGGGTGATCGAGGAACCCAGCTCTCAGGGGGTCAAAAACAGCGCATTGCGCTAGCTCGAGCCATGATCCAAGACCCCAAGATCCTTCTGCTAGACGAACCCACAAGTGCACTCGACCCCGAGTCCGAGACTATGGTCCAGCAGGCCATTGATAAAATCTCGAAGAATAGAACCACCATGGTGATTGCTCATCGGCTGGCAACAGTCAGGAATGCCGATAGGATCGTTGTTCTAGAACACGGATCCGTTATTGAAAGTGGAAACCATCAACAACTCATCGAAAGAAAAGGAGCCTACTTTGCACTCATCATGCTTGCATCTGAAGCTGTATCATCCGAACCCGTATCAGAAAATGGCGAAAAAACGGAGAGAAAACACGAAACATCTAGTGCTCAAGATCTCTTAAAATCAAACCATGTCCACGAGATATCAAGATCGGAGTACATGAAATCCGTTCACGAAGAAAACGACCAAGTAGAAACACAGAAACCAATGAAACCAAGTACGTACATGATTTCCGATGTTTGGAAACTACAGAAACCAGAAGGCAGCATGCTGTTTATAGGCATTGTTTTGGGTATGTTAGCAGGTGCTATTCTCTCCATCTTCCCCTTCATTTTAGGAGAAGCACTCAACTTTTACTTCAATCCTGACAAAAAGAAACTGAAAACCGATGTCGGAAACCTCTGTTTAGTTCTAGTCGGACTCGGGGTCGGAATCATTCTCGCCATGACCGGCCAACAAGGTTTCTGCGGTTGGGCTGGTACGAACCTCACGAGGAGGGTTCGCAATCTACTCTTCCAATCCATATTGAAACAAGAACCAGGATGGTTCGATTCTGACGAAAACTCAACCGGAATACTCGTTTCCCGGCTATCCATCGACTGCATCAGTTTCAGATCAGTTCTAGCTGATAGATACTCAGTTTTATTCATGGGTTTGAGCTCAGCTGCTGTTGGACTTGGCATTTCTTTCTATCTCCAATGGAGGTTAGCCCTTTTAGCTACTCTTCTAACCCCTTTCACCCTTGGAGCTAGCTACTTTAACCTGATTATTAACATTGGACCAAAGCTAGATAATGGGTCTTATGATAACGCGACTAGAATCGCGTCTGGTGCAGTATCAAACATTCGAACAGTAGCAACATTTGCAACTCAAGAAAAGATTGTCAAATCTTTTGAACAATCTTTATCGAACCCAAAAGCAACATCTGTAAAAAGATCACAAATCACTGGGCTAGCATTAGGACTCTCTCAAGGTGCAATGTATGCCGCTTATACTGTAATCCTCTTATTCGGGGCTTATCTTGTGAAACGAAAACTAGGAGATACGACGTTTGGTGATGTCTACAAGATTTTCTTGATTCTTGTTTTGAGTTCGTTTTCAGTTGGGCAATTGGCGGGTCTTGCTCCAGATACTTCCACTGCATCTTCTGCAATTCCTGCTGTTTTCTGGATTATTAACCGAACTCCATTGATTCGTGGGAAAGGGAGAAAGATTGAAAGCTCGAAGCTTTTTGATGTGGAATTCAAGATGATTACTTTTTCGTATCCATCGAGACCTCATGTGATTGTTTTGAGGGATTTCTCGTTAAAAGTGAAAGGTGGAACAATGGTGGCGGTGGTCGGAGGAAGTGGGTCTGGGAAATCGACATTGATTTGGTTGACACAGAGGTTTTATGATCCGATTAAAGGGAAGGTTTTAATGGGTAGAATTGATTTGAGGGAGCTTGATTTGAAATGGGTTCGATCTCAAACAGCTTTGGTGGGTCAAGAACCTGCATTGTTTGCTGGTTCGATTCAAGAAAATATTGGATTTGGGAACCCTAAAGCTTCATTTGCAGAGATTGAAGAAGCTGCTAAAGAAGCTTATATTCATAACTTCATCTGTGGCCTCCCAGAAGGGTACGAAACTGAGGTATGTATTCAATTCAAGAAATTAACTCCACAAATTGATATTTGCTTTAATTATTTCGTGAGTTTAATCATGTTTGATTGGATTGATCAGGTGGGTCAAAGTGGGGTTCAGTTATCAGGAGGTCAAAAACAAAGAATAGCAATAGCAAGGGCAATAGTGAAGAGATCAAAAGTGTTGTTACTAGATGAAGCAAGTAGTGCACTGGATTTGGAATCGGAGAAGCATGTTCAAGAAGCACTTAGGAAGATAACTAAACGGACCACCACCATCGTGGTGGCGCACCGCCTCTCCACCATCAGAGAGGCCAACTTGATCGCGGTGGTTCAAGATGGAAAGCTGACGGAGTATGGAAGCCATGATAGGCTCATGACTTCCCATCATGACGGTGTTTATGCTAACCTTGTTCGTGCCGAAACAGAAGCAAATGCTTTTGCCTGAGTCCCAAAATGCAAATTTTTGTTATTGATAGAATATGAAACGCAAATTTCTCTTTGTTGTAGAATATAATTTCAGAATAACTATTCAAACTGACAAGACACTTATAAAATTGTGTTAAAAATTATGTTGCAGTAAAAGTAGAGGAAATGATCCAAGTCTAACCGATTTGAGACTCTATCACGTCCCCTCCAATGGAGGCATGGACACTAATTGTCTTACGGTGTCAAGAGGGGGCTAGCCAGAGTGTCGGGTCCTAGAGTGGCAGATTTTGACTCTGATACCATATGATCACTCTCCAAAAGAGCCCTCGAGGAAAAAGAGGAGGTTCCATTGTATATACATGAGAATTAGTCCAAGTATAGCCGATGTAGAACTCCAACAATAGCATCTAGACCAGACCACAATGCAATGAATGCATCATGGATATCAGTCGATTGAGAGACTGTTGCACGAAAACAACCAAGGACATTGTGAGTGTTGACGGTATTCAGAATGCCCATGAGTTATACTGCAATTTGTCAAGATCAAGAATGAGAGGGATGGTCTTATGTATCACAAAGAGTGTCGAGTGATACGCGGGTCTGGGTGGATGGTTGTTGGTCGTGGTTGTGCAGAAGTTGTTCGTTGAGAAGTTATGGAGAGGGGGTTGGTTTTTCTTGAGGTGTCTTTGTACCTACTTTTGTCTGTATGTTATTGCTTACTCAATTGCTCCATACTCGTTTTCCTTTCTTGTTTTATGTTTTTTGGTACGAACTTTCCTTTTCTCACCCTTTTCACAAGCTCGGTATATTCACAAAAATAACCAGTTTACTCTTTGGAGTAGATATCAGATTTTACATATATTCCACCTCTCCAGACCTCAAATTCACATTCAGGTGGTTGTTCACCCGTTTGATTCGGTTTATTATAGATTTGCCATCTTAGACTCTTCAAAATCCTTTCAAAGTCTTTGAATCCTTAAAAAGAGTTTCAAAACTTCGTCACAAGCCAATGGTCTTCACAAATCAGTCTCTAGGATAAAGGAAAGGTCTGTATACATCCTACCCTGTCTTAAACCATACCTCGTATGCAGGGTAGATTTGGCTTAGTTCATGGTAAAGATAGCCAAGCCACTAGCTTTTTCTTGATGGTTACATTTGAAAAAATAACAAAAGCCACAATTGCGTAATCGAGCAGCCGTGTTGCAATACGGTCCGTTTTTTAGGACCAACGAGCAACGAGTAGTTGAACGGATATTATTTCAAATGACCAGAAGGATCTTATGCAACATTTGAGTTCAAATCAAAGAGTGATTGTGACTTGTATCGCATGCATTCAAAGTTGTGGATTTACACAGAAAATGGATTGCACCATTGGAGTTACTGATCCTTGTAAGGGGCAAATAAGATGGATGAATTGTGTCCTCCAAACCCAAAGGAGTTGGAAAGTGCTACCTTTATATTGCATTGTTCCTTCTTTGCACCCACCAGCACCTCTTTATCCTACTTCAACAACATTAGAGATTCTTTTGGTTAATATGGTCGTTCGAAAATTCATAGGTTTTTTTTTTAAATTAGAGTTCTTTTGTATGAAATGACTCTGAAAAGAAGGTGACTGAATACATACCACGCCTACGTCTGGATTTTCAAGATTGATGTTCGGATGGAGCCATCCTGTCTGTATAGCCTACATAATGGTGTATGTCAGTTTCAATCCAAATGCAGGTTTGCTCTCAATTTCCTTAGCTATAATGATCTATAACATATATATATATATAGAGAGAGAGAGAGAGAGCAAGAGGGAAGGAGAGAGAGAGAGAGATAGAGAGAGAGAGAGAGAGAGAGAGGAAGGTTCAGGGGAAAACCCCAAAAAATGAAAAATTCAAGGAGACTCTAATAACCGTTCATCTGCACGGTGTGCACATGTGCTTACAAGTAATTGAAGATGTTTCCTAGTTTCTTTGCACGTGGGTATACTAGAAAATTACTTGTATGCACATGTGCTTACCTTACAGATGAATGGTTACTAGGTGAACCGGTGAAGGTACACATTCAGGTCAAGTAACCTTCACTACCTTCACAAAATATGATGTAACATCACATAATATAAGGGTACTTTCACAACTTTCGCTTCTCACCAAAAATTTGTTCTCTCAAGTGATCCTAAGTCTATATACGTATATACATATATGGGTTGTATTCTGGTGAGAAGAAGCCTAAGAAGAGAGATCTCCACCCTTGAAACAATCCTAATTGAATGTCAACACTAATGATGTGCACCGAGATGAGATTAAAAGTGATCAAGGGTTCAGATCTCTTCTTACAATTCTCACCATAACTTCTCTTCTCACACGATCCTTCGCCATATAGGGAGAGGTTCATTTGAGAAGTGGTAAGTATTTGAGGAGTAAAGAAGTAATCATAGCCCTTCATACGATCAAGATTGGTCAAAAATTGTGGCTTTGACTGGTCAAGAGAAAAATAGAGGATTAGAGTTTCGTAACTTTTACAAATAGGCGACAAACAAGTGCATATGTGAACCCATAGTTCATATGTGAATCACACGGGTTCATGTTAATTAGTTCATATGTGAATCACACGGGTTCACATATGCATTTGTTTTGCCACCTATTGTAGAAATTAACCAAAACTACCTCTCTATCTTCAGCATACCATGTGAGGAATTATCCGGTGCTTCACAGTCAAAGCCACAAATCTTGACCAGATGAAGGCTAGGATCACTTCTCTACTTCTCAAATACTTACCACTTCTCAAATGAACCTATGGCTATATATGTTCAACTTGTATATATATATGCTAAATTCATTGTCTAATTACCTTGACAGTAGCAATTGCTTCGACGGCACCAGCAGCCCCAAGCAGGTGGCCGATCATTGATTTTGTGGAGTTTATCTTCAACTACAAGATTTAGAAAACCATATTAGAACTGATTGAATCAAAGTTAAGGCACTGAATTTAATCAAGATTACCTCAGAATTGTCCCCAAAACAACGAATGATAGCCTCATACTCGTTTAGATCACCAGACTGTGTGGATGTAGCATGGGCATTTATGTAATTAACATCTTCTCTAGCAACCCCAGATTGAGCCAACGCCTTTTCTATGCACAGAGCTATTCCTGTCCCTAATTTCAGTAACCAAAACAAATAAGACGTTTTTTGGTAGATGTGAATGGTTTGGTGTTGAATGATTAAGATGCTTAGTGAATCCAGAAAATGAGTGGTGGGGGAGCAAGCTCACCATCGGGATGAGGTTCAATCATGTGGTAAGCATCACAAGTGAAGCTTCCGCCCAAAAATTCCGCATAAATCTTTGCACCTCTTGCCTGCCAATCCATGTTTCATTTCAGTTGCCAAATCATTCATGAAGAAGATGATATATAACGGTCGGGTTCAGGGAAAACCGCAAAAAAGTGAAAAATTAAGAAACACTTTAATAACCATTCATCTGTAAGGTATGTGCACGTGCATACAAGTAATTTGTTTGGTGTGCACATGTGCATAACATGCAAACATGCATAGAAACCAGGAAATATCTTCAATTAATTGTACACACATACTGTAATGATGAATAATTATTAAGGTGTTCCTCAGTTTTTCATTTTATGGAAGGGTTTTCTCCTAAACCTCTCTCTCTCTCTATATATATATACACATATATATACATATAAATATATTAGAAGGGTACTCGCATAATGCAGCGGGATACATCTCGATTTGAATGTTTCGCTTTATTCTGTCTCCGTCGATGTTATAATACGATTTCATGTGGTACTAAAAAAATGATAATGTTTTTATTTTTGGAATAAACTATAAATTTGAAGGTATCATAAAATTTTGAAAAAAATGTATTGATTTTAGTATCAATTAAATATATAAAAGTTCTTGTTCTTTTTGTGTAATTTGTTTAACTTAAAATTTAATTTAATTTAATAATGAAGTCATTTATTTTTTGTTTAATAATATAATTTTTTTATAAAGATAATAATTAGTATTTTGTTAGAATTCTATGATTATCCTAAATATATTTTAGATTTTTTATATTTAAAGTGAGATACCTATCCAGTATTTGATTATGTTTATCTGCATTTAGTTACACGAATTCAAACATGGAGCTTTAATAAGTTGTAGATACACACAATTCACTTGTAATCTTGAATTTTAGGTAATATGCATCAATAAATAAAACTTAATGCATAAAAAATGGTTTTTAAGAGTTTTTGTCAAATGCTTTATAATATAGTGTGTGTGTATATATAGGTTGTAGAATTGAGATATTCGTACCTTAGCATGTTCTAGCTCTTCTAGAAGGAGAACACCAGCACCTTCACCCATGACAAATCCATCACGGCTCTGCGATTTTGTAAAAACAAAAGATGGCATCAGGTTTATTCAAAAGAAGCTATCCATTTAGTATTGACTACCATTTAAATTTGTGAGAATATGTGGAACCCCCAGATCAATCTTTAAACGTACCCTTAAAGAGAGAAGGGGGTTCCAACATATATCGAAGAAAAATGGTTCACTCCAACAAAATTCATACCACATCCCAAGGGCGTGACGCTTTGGTTGGATCACTGTTCCTCTGTGAAAGAGAATTGCAAGCAACAAACCCTCCCAATCCTGCGATTTTAAGATGATAATTATCCATGAAGAATGGATCAATATGCATCCAAACATGAAATATGCTTAATACCTATAGGAATGATGGCTGAATCAGAACCACCAGACAGCATCATATCCTGTAAATTTCATCGATTGAGTCCAGACCAAAAGTGAAGGTGGTTTTTAGAGAACGAGAACCAGAAACGATGCTTACAGATTCACCTCTGATAATATGATTGGCTGCATTTAATATACAAAAGTTGCTAGTAGCACAAGCCGTAGATATCGAATAGTTTGGCCCCATCCAACCCTGCATTTCAGCAAAAATCAACCATCATAAGTCCACAATCTCATATTCCTTCATACCCATCTCCTAATTTGCAGAAAGTTCTTTTTTTAAGGGTGTCTCAGGCTATGCGTGGACTAATCCCAGCAAATTGTGACTGCAAGAAATCAGCTCTGATAAACTCAGTGGCCACAATTGTTGTGTACACCTGGAATGGAACCCTAGGCCGATGGGATATTTCACCACATCACCCAGGGCCTCAACTACTATGCAACAACCCTTGTGGTTTAGTTTGCAGAAACTTCATATTTACCAAATCCATTGCAAGCATTGCAGAACCCATGTTCGTCGTTGCAAATGGTACACAAAAAGGATTCATCTTCTTGTATGAAATCCTCAATGCTTCAATTCCGTCTTGAAATACCTGTTTAAACAAGTAGTTTTTAGCAGATTTCTATGGTAAACTATTCAGAACTTCCCCATTTTGGAAAGCTAAAGCTAAACTAAGGAGCCGTTGGTTGGTTTCCCATTAAGTCTTGTATGGATAAAGTTGTCTGTATAGATTGGGAAGATTGTTTCATGAATGGAAGGAGCGTGTTTTCCAATTGAGGGACAGGTTTGGAAAAAAAATTGGTTTTCTGCATAAAGCTTAAGTCACTTTCTATATCAATAAGCCACTACCAAACAGTCACATATAGCTGATTGAATATTTTGTGAGTCCCATTAAGCTGCTAACAAGCAGGCCCTAACCTTCATACCACCAAGGGCAGACCCAATGAGGACACCACATTTTGCAATATCCAACTCTTTCATGACATCTTCAGTAACACCACCATCTTCCAATGCCTTCTTGCCGGCAGTGAGCAAATAAAGCATAAACTTGTCTGCCCGTTTCGAAAGTTTTGGTGCAACCCATCCATCAGCTGAGAATGACTTAATTTCTCCTGCAATTTTCTGTAAGAAAGCGGAAGTTACCAACACAGGAAGACTGAATGAAAACAACAGTAAAGATGCCCATTTGATTGCAAGAAAGGAGGGTAGAAGATATGTTTACAGTGGGAAACTGATCACAGTCAAAAGCCTCAATCTCACTTATGCCGCTAACACCTTCGACTAGGTTTTCATAGAAGACATCTGCAACATGACCAACCGGAGATACCACACCAAGTCCCGTCACCACGACTCTCCTTTTCTTGGTGACAGGTTTCTTCTTTGTTGTAGCATCTTTTGCAGGCTGCACAGCGATTGCTGTGGTTTTGCCTGAAATCAATGGCAGAAGAAGAAGCCACTGTTAGACTGGAAACTATCTTTTTTTTTTTTTTGTTAACCATGAGTGTCTGGCCAGCTTGCGTGCACCTTGACTAATCCCAGGGCCCTGGAGACAGGGGCGGACCTAGTGTATTGGATACGGTGGCACGGGCCACGGCATCGTTCCCCTATCGTAGTGTAAAAAATATCAATTTGTTGTGTACCACCATCTATATTTTGAACTACAATAAGGACACAAGTTTCCCTTGGAGTTGGTTTGCAAGGCTTTACTTCCACCAAGATCCGAGTTTGAATCTCGTTAGTGTCATTTTTTTAGTTTTTAACTTTTAGTTTCATATTTATTATGTTTCTGTTGAACAAATGATCACACATATAAAAAACAATAAACTAATCAACAAATAATGATCTTGTAGGATCTATATGTGATGGATGATATACATTAAAGATTTATATGTATAACTTTTTGATAAAAACGCATTTCAATAAAACTAGAAATAGAATCATACTACAATCTTAAATTGGAAAAATCCAAATAGAATCGTAATTAGGGGAAATATGGACCAGACATGTTCAAACGAGAAGTTAAACATTTTGCAAGAAAGAGAAAAGTTTCAATATCATATATGATTAGACCAATGATACACAAGCTTAATCATGTATGATTAAAGACATGTTGAATTGACAACATACGCATGGTGTAATCATATATGATATTGCAATTTCTAGCCTTCTCGCAAAATGTGTAACTTATCGAAACCCATCCGGTAATCATGGCTCTTACCGATTTGTGCAGCTCGATTGATCCGTTTCTGAATGCGATTCTTCGAAAAAACGTTGTTTAAACCAAAAATGGAGAACCCATTTTCACAACCAAATGTAGACCTATAATACTCCTCACATGGCTCTAACGAATTCATCAGGTTCATAATTCCAGACCCACATAAAGACGACATCAATCCACCGCCACCGGAGAAATTATTGCATTCGGTCACCGCCGATAACTTCCGTCTGGCCGACCGACTGAGCCTTTTCGACGATGAAAACAGTGCCGGCGACGGCGATGGTTTAGGACGGTAGTCGTTTTTGTCGCCGGAAACAGACATGCAAGCAGCCACTAACCATGTACAGAACGGCGAAGCGACGGCGGTAGAGGCCACCATTGAAGAAAGTAGAGCAAACCCTGAACGATGAAGTCTGTAAAATCAAAACCCAAGAAGGATTTCCGATGAAGAAGCTGTCATCGAAGTGAAAGATGACGAATTGATGAATACTGATCCTCCGTTGTTTGAAAAACTAAAAATCTGTGAACAGTAGATTAATTATTAAAAGTTAATTTGGTGTTAAAGACTGCCAAAATCGTCAGAGAATCATACAAAAAACGTGAATTTTGTCAAAAAGTTGAAAATGGGTGGCTGCAAAGAATGATAATGTGATTGTGATCTTCGTGATAGAGACTTGATACTCATCATCATCATCATCATCATCAAAAATTCAACTGAAAGTTTGAAAAAAATTCCATCAAGATGAAATTTCACATTGAATTTCAGAAATTGCTGAATTCTTATAATTCCAATTGAGGAGTATATCTGATCGGAAAAGAAGGGTAAAACCCAAAGACTCACAGGATGAGTTGCTGGAATTGGAATTGGAATTGGTACTGGAATTGGAATCGGAACTGGAATGGGAATGGGAATGAGAATTGGGACTTGAGAGTGAAGACGATGTCGTTTTTATTGGAGTAATTTTAATTTAAATTAATGGGTAAAGAGAAAGACCCAAATCAGATATCCTCAGTATCAAATTCCCTTTTCCAATTAAACGATCGCTTCTTTGTCTTTGTTTGACCGTGCATTTTTATTCACAATTTCTTTTTTTTTAACGATAATCGTTATTTAATATTAAAACGTTTTATTAGGGTGGGCTAAATGCACTCTTATGCATTGTTTAATGCATTCCTACTATGAATTTCTTTCTCACACATATCAACATCAATGCATATTTTTTACATTTTCAATGCTTGAAATAACCTGATTCTGACATGAAAGGGGGTGACATTAGCACTCCCCGTTTTATTTTGATAGACGTGTTTTTTTTGTTTTTTATTAAAAAATATTTTAAATATTTAATTAAAGTAACCTTGCATTTCGTTTTCTTCTTTGTACATATCAAATAGATATATTTTTAAATAGTTAAATAACAGACTACAAAGTACATAATTAGAAGAAAAAAAATCAGCTAAATATATATTTATATGTTATTAGAAGGGTATTCGATGATTTTGATAAAACGATAATGTTTTTATTTTTTAATAAAATATAAATATGAAAATATCCTAAACATTTGAAAAAAATATATATTCATGTTAGTATTAAACTATCTATTTAAAATTTCTCTATTTTGTGTAATTTTTGAAAAATTTTATAAAGATAATAGTTAAGTATTTGATTAGAAATTAATGATTATCTTAATTATATTTTAGAATTTTTATATTTAACATGATATGTTTATCCTCTATTTGATTACGTTTATTTGTAGTTAGTTACACGAATTAAAACATGAAGCTTTAATAAGTTGTACTTATGAATAATTTATTTGTAATCTTTAATTTTAAGTAATCTGCATCAATAAACAATACTTTATGCAAAAAAAATGATTTTTAATAGTTTTTGTCAAATGTTTTATAATATAGTATAGATACTTATATTTACTAATTTTTTACTTACATATCAACATCAAGACTTACTTTTTACATTATCAATACATAATTTAATCTGATTTTGATATAAAATAAGATTTATATATACCCCTTAGAAAAAAAATAAAATTTTATATTCATTTGTTTCTAAAAAGTAAAAACCCTTTTCTTGCCAAATTCATTTATTAATCCATCAATAATTATGCTATAATCTGAATCTGATGGGAATATCTTTTCTTTTTGCTGTAAAGTTGTAATTATTTTGCAGGATATATACAATAAATAAATAAATAAAAACTACACCCATTCGGCAATAAATTATTCCCCCTATTAAGATTGGACGACTTAATTTTTTTAATAAGAATCTATCGGAACCCTTATTAAATGTTTAATCTATCCATTAAGAAACCGTTATTAAATGTTTAATCGGGTAAGTTTATCGACAAGTCATTTGTCAGGTAACATTTTAGGTCATCAAAGTTTATTGTCTGAAATCTAAATTAGTCAGACTGTTTGTTTTGATGTCTGAAATCTGAATCTGAATCAGTCCGACTATTTGATTTTACGTCTGAAGTCAGAAATCTGAATCAATAAACTTGTTTGTTTTTGTAAACTGACAAACGTCTAAAGTCTGAAATCTGAATCAATTTTTTTCAATTAAATTCAACTGAAATATCCAATCATTTAAACCATTTAAAAGTCAACTGAAATACGTCAATTGATTCAACACACAATAGAATACACAAACCACCTTAGTTGTTGTTACCAGATAAGATGCATTGGTCCTTGTCATCCCGACACAGTAAGGTAATAATCTAGTAAATACCAGTATGCAAAATATATTAAAATTTAATAAAATTTGTCTTAATTTTCAATTAATTGTGACGCTTTTTTAATCAGCATAATAAACATTTAATAATCTCTATTTTCTATCTATTTTGATGTGATAAACGGGATCTACTTGACATCGATTAATTTTAATGTCTCCTACCCTCTACCTCTCTACCTCCCTACCTCCGATCTACGCTAGCTACGAACCCCGACTCATAGTCCACTACTCTAGTTTTATTTCTCCACGAGCTCTTATTAGATGTCGTGTCTTCGGAGATGCCTAAAGTTGTCAGGTCTAACCTTAGTTGCTCATCCCACCTCTTTATCGCCTTTCTCGACTGTCACACTTTCAATTAACCTACTAGAACCGGCATTTGTCACCTACGAACGTTCCCAAACTACCACAATCGCCTCTCCCTCAATTTATATTTGATCTGTGCAACTCACAAGACTGTCCAGAAGACATCTTTGGTATATATCAAGTCAAACATAGTTCTACCATGTGTTAATATACCCCCATGTAACATAGTTGGTTTGATGGTTAATCTGTAAAAAAAAACAGTTTCAGCATGAACTTTTTGCCACAACACCCCCATGACAACTTTCCATTTTAACCAATTCGGCTTTATACGATATCTTATATCATCCAGGACCACGCTCTAGTGGCATAATCAAAACTTTACATCCATAGAATTTATTGCAGATAAAGACAATGACTAAAAACCAAACTTACATAAGTCTTATATCGTATTTTGAAAATACAAACGTGTTTTATATCTCAAAACATTTGTTTGTCACATGTCAATAAAAAAGGTTAAATGGGAAGAATAGTTGTTAAAAACATAAAAGCAACATTTATGAATAAAGGTTTGGTTAGGTATGGTATGTACCTAACATAACAATCCTTGGCAACAATGCAACCAAAGAGTTAAAGTTGATGTTACACACTTCACCTTTCTTAGGGATTGTTTGGTAATTGTTGAATGGTTTGGTGCAAAATAATTAAGTGAGCAGAATGATTAAGAGGCTCTCATGATATAATACAAAATGAAATATAATTGTTTGATAACTGTGTACAATGAAATTAGGGCTCTTAATGGTTAAGAAAGATCAATGATACAAAATAATTCAGAGGGTTTTAGAACCATTAAGAGGCAGACTTTTTTTTTTGCCAAACAAGATTCACCTCTTAATGATTTAGATATTCTTCTTAATGGAACTATTAAGAGATAAACAAACAACCCCTTAATTTCTCTTCAAAAGTTATTTTTTAATGTTCTTTTTTGCAATTTTTCATGAGCAAAAGAAATATTAAAATTTGTAATCACAGATGTTTGTATACAAAAATGACTAATAAACCACAAGAGTAGTGTCTAATTGGTTTGAGTTTGACTCCAAATATCAAAAATGTTTGAAGGTCCCATATTCAAATTCAAAAGGAATAAAAATACCTTTGTGGCCACAGAGGTTCAAGTGCGGAGATTCCGGGTTACCCACAAAACAAATGGTCACCCTGAAATTAGTCGTCTCGCATAACGAATTGGATATTCAGATTAAATTGTTTTGGGTTTTTCAGGAAAAAGAAAATTTATTTAAAGAGAGAATTTAGTACATGAAATTATAATCATCCGGACTAATAATATATGACTTTTAAGACTCCATAATTACAACACTACTATCCAAATGATGTTCCACCAATAGGAGACATCCTTTCAGCTTAATCGTTCAGCATACCTAACTTTTTTGTGATTTGTATTAATGGTCTATAAATGTCGTACTCTAGAATTTAAGGATTTCTAAGACTTAAATTTTATTGCAAATAAAAAATGAAAAAAATAAATAAATAATACAATTCATGAAAAATAGAATCTGAAAGTTTGTGGGTTTATTATTTATACTATATTATAAAGCATTTGATAAAAACTTTTAAAAATCATTTTTAATGCGTTAAGTACTGTTTATTGACGCACATTATATAAAATTCAAGTAAATTGTCCGTATATACAACTTATTAAAGCTCCATGCTTGAATTAGTGTAACTAATTGCAGATAAACATAATTAAATACTGGATATATATCTTATTTTAGATATAAAAAATCTAAAATATATTTAGGATAATTATTGAATTCTAACGAAATATTAAATATTATCTTTATAAAAAATTATATTATTAAACCAAAATATAAATTAGTTCATTATTAAATCTAAATTAGATTATAATAAAAAAATTAAAGAAATTACACAAAAAAACAAGAACTTTTAAATATTTAATTTGATACTAAAATCGATACATTCTTTTTCAAAATTTTATGATACATTTAAATTTATATTTTATTCAAAAAAAATAAAAACATTATTGTTTTTTCAGTACCAGATAAGATCGTATTATAACATCGACGAAGACAGAATAAACTAAAACATTAAAATCAAAATGTATTTCGCTGCATTACATAGATACCCTTCTTTCTAGTGTATATTTAAACATATTTATGGGTTGATTTTGTAAAATTTTAGGGACAGGACCAACCCAAAATAACCTGACGTGAAACAGTCTAAAAAAATCAATCAAACCCAAAAACACCGGCCTTACAAAATCAGATTGGGCTCTTTTAAAGCCCAAAACCCGGCCCAATCGATGGGGAAAAAGCCCTCTATAATCTATAAGCCCACGCGTTCCAATTTTCAAAAAATTCGAACGTTACCACACCAAAGTTAAACGCTACATATACAAAACCAATTTGAGATCAGAACGATCGTCAAACCAGAAGAGGAATCACAATCTGTTGATTCTCAATCATACTAATGACTCCAGAAAATTACTTTGAAGTTGAATCAGAAGAAGAGATGTGCGATTCTGATGATTCTCAAAGGGACCCAAGCTTCTACATTTTAGAAGACACTCAATCAAGATTCTCTAATCTCTCCATCAACAAGAAATCCAGAACTCGGTGATTTACCTTTACCTCTTTTTGAGTATACTTTTAAATTTTTCAAATTTCAATACGTTTTGTTCTAAAACTTCCAGATTTGTATCCTTTTCTTTCATTTTCAGTATTCCCGTGGAAGTGAATGACGATGAGAATGAGAATCAGAATGTTGATTGTGTAGAGATTGTCGCACCTGAGTCTGATGCAAGTGATCAGAAAAGCTTAGAGATTGTTCAAAAGATCATCGAAGGTTAATGGCAAACCTAACTTTAGATTTTATAAACGGAAGATGAACATAACACGTGTTCGATGAAATGCCTCTTCTTTAATGTTTTTATTACCCGTTTTGCCCCTCTTTTATGGGTAGATGACATGGTGGAGAAACTGAAAGTGGAACAATGTAAGCTCTATCTAAGGAAACATGGGTTGAGATTAACAGGCAAAAAAGATATCCTCATTCATCGCATTAAGGAGCACATTAGGTATGCTTGATCATTTGAAGATCTAATTGTTCTTGTGCATTTGATTAATTACTAATATTGATGACAATTGATTCTGCTTGATCCCAGTATTATGAATGGTGAAGGAGAACATAAATACCCTGCTTGTAGTTTTGTTATGAATTGTAAAGGTACTTCCTGCTTTATCTAAACTTGTATATAGTTCATAGATTTGCACAAACCTTAAAATTTAACATTAACAATCGATTTTGTGTCTACCATTCAGTATATAATCTCTTTGTATTCCATATCTGCATTTCGTGTTTTGTTTTGATACTTAAAGCTTATAAGGAGTAACTCAACTGTTGCAGGGGATTCATGCACAGGAGATGTTGTTTTGTTCGAACAAAATGTGTATGAAATGTAAGGATCTATTGAGTAATACAATTATGGTTCGTTGATTACATTCCTCAAAGATGTCGTTTTTACATTGGTTTATAATCAGGTTTAGCATTGCATCAAGGAGTGCTACTGGTCCTCCTTGTGGCACGAGGGTGATAGCTGGTCGGATAGTGAAAGAAAGCTATGGTGCTGCTAAACAGCAACATACATTTACGGTTAGCTACATTTTCATTCAGTTTATACGTTGCAGTCAAAGGTTCTTGACCTTTCATAACTTGCAAATTCTAAACTTTACATTTCTACTTGTTAGATTGAGGTCTACATTTTCATTCAGTTTATACGTTGCAGTCAAAGGTTCTTGACCCTTCGTAACTTGCAAATTCTAAATTTTACGTTTCTTCTTGTTAGATTGAGGTTTTATGGAGCAAAGGGGTGAAACCACTCCCTCCCCTTCATCCTCTACTCATCAAAGGCAGAAACCTTTACAGATTAAAGACAATGAGACAGGTCCGTATGTTATTGATTCACGCTGCATTCCTTTTTAGGTTTTATTGTATTGTGTAGTTTACTGAACGTTATTGTTAATTCTAGAGATGGGAAAACGAAAGTGAAAGGCAGAAAATTTTGTCGGAGAAACATTTTAGAGGCAACACTGCCCGGAGTTATAGGGCAGCACGCCTTCAGGAGAAGGAAATAAAGAAGGCACTTAGGGAAAGGTAAAGCGTTGGTGTTTATAAAGAAAAAGTTTAGTTTTCAGCAGCATCGAAAACAACATTTACAAGTTTATTTTCATCTCAGGACATCAAAAGGGAACATTCAGAATGAAAATCAAGCGAAGAAAACAACAGCATCTCCTACCCGCCCTATGATTAAAGCCAAGAACCCCACAAAGCCGGACTTCCAAAATGCTTCAATTCAACATGAAACTAGAAATTGGCCTCCCCCATCAGATACACATCCACACGCAGGTGTACCATATACAGAGGTTTTACGTCACCAACCGTTGATGAGCAGGATTCATTATCCTCATGAAGGTTCATATAAAGAAAACATCAACTCTAACATGTTAAGGAGTGCGGTTGGATGGGAGCCAAATACTTCTTCTAGAAATACCTTTCAGGCTGAACAAAACTGTCGATTATATCCTTCAAGACCATTTCAGAATTTACCACAAACCCATGCTTTCCAACAAGGTCATTTACCAAGGGAGGTGCAGAATTTACCACAAAGCCATAGTTCCCAGCAAGGCTATTTACCAAGGGAGGTGCAGAATTTACCACAAAGCCATACTTCCCAACAAGGTCATTTACCAAGGGATCATCACCATCAAGGACAGAGGCAGCAGCTGTGTAGATACTATCCACAAGGAAGGTGCCACTATGGTACTAACTGCAAATATCTACATTGAGTGTGCATCTATCCTATGTTTCTTTTTGTCCTTTTTCGAGGCAATTATGTTTTAGCGGATCTTCAAATGATCCTGCAAGGAAAGCAACGCACTTGAGTTCCAGATGATGCTAATTTTTGTATAAATGGTGAGCATATATAACTCACTCAAATTTTGAAATTAAAATTTGTATGTCAGAGGATTCCAGAATTTTGCTTCAAATTTTGTCTCGGTTAAATCTTATCTTACAATTGAATATCTAAACAAGCATTTAATGCAAATATATATCGACACACTTACTTCCAGAAAACCGATACGAGTCAACTTCTTCCTTCACAATACTAGCTTAGTGAAAATGTTGGTGATTTTAGTGTCATCAAATATTTAAAATCACCAACATTTTGATGTAATTGTAATTACGAAGCGTCGACTAGGTACAAAGCATAACGTGAATAGGAGGTGTTGGGTGTGGGGGCAGGGTGGGGGCGGGGATTGGCGTGGGTAGCAGGGCGGTAGCTATGACGATAGTGGTGGGATGGTGGTTAGTGGTGGGTTGGGTAAGGTAGGTGGGGTGGAGGTGAGTGGCGGGTGTGACGGCGATAACAGTGGTGTGGTGGGGTGGGGGTTGGGTTAGGGGTGGGGCTGGGTGGCGGGGGTGGTAATTGTAATGACGATAGTGGTGGGATGTCGGTCGGATAGCTGAGAGTAGGTGGGTATGACGGCGACAGTAGTTGCATGGTGGTGGGGTGGGGTAGGGGTGAGTGGTAGTTATGACGGCAAGAGTAGTAGTGGAGGGTTAGGTTAGGGCGTGACAGTAGTGGCATGGTCATACTAGGGATGTCGAGGGGTGGGTGGGTGTGAACATTAGTGGCATGATGGTAAATGATGGGTTGGGATAGGGTGGATGGGGTGGGTGACAACGATAGTAGTGGTGTGGTGGTGCTGGGGTTTAGGGGTGGGCGTGATGAACAATAGTAGCATGGTCGTGATGGAGGCAGGGGATGGGCGGTGATAGAACTCATTTCCTTCTGTTATGTTAAGGAATGATGAATTTATTGATTTGAAAGATTTCATCCATTTCAAAAAGTGAACCAAACAAAGAAATTGAAATTTGTCAAAGACATTTATAATTCTAATTCCATCAAATTTTTCGAATTTCGCAAACCAAACGACCACTAAGGAAATTCAAAAGGTTATGATCCTTTCCTCCTGAACTTTGGTCATAAACAAAGCTTCTGATTGTGAAGGGTTCTAATCCGTTTTGAACTTGTCCACAAACAGTTGTACACGATGAAAGACCAAACGTGTATATATTCCACAACCATGTTTAATCATTAATATCGGAATTGTCAAATAACCAAAACAACATTAACTACAACAAAATGCTACCTTATCCTCAATATTTTCAAAATTCACAAAACCTCATAACAAGTAAAATGCAGAAAATTCAAGCAGCCGATTCGTCCATCTTCCATATTCGGTATTCCCTCTCAAATAATAAGAATTCCTGCAATTGGTTTTGACTAAACAAATGAAGAACCCCGGTTTCAGATCCCGCAACTAATTCAATCAACTCATCTTGGACATCATGTGCATTACCCGACTCCATAAGAGAAACAGAAACCTACCATTTACAAAACGTCAACAATAATTAACATCCGATGAAGTAGTTGTATTAAAAATGGCAGAGAACGTAACTACACAAAAATTACCTGCATGCATCGAAGAATCACTTCTGGAATACAGCACCTGCGACATAGACCCCTTACGATATATGTTGCCGGGCTTCCCAAAGAACCATCATTGTCACAATACCAAGCATCTAGTCTCAAGATTTCCATCGTTACACCAGCTTGAAATCCAGCCAGCTCACCTGCAACCCATATTTCTCATACTTAGGGCCTGTTTATTGACAGCTTAATGAGCTTAATGAGACTCATAGCTTATTAAGTCAGCTATACATGACAGTTTGTAGTGGCTTCCAACCTACTCCCAATTACACATTCCTTCCATCTATGAAAAATCTCCCCCACAGACAACTTTATCTGTTCAGGACTTAACGCAAAACCAATCAAACAGCTCCTTATTGACCGAACATCACCAACTAACTTCTATGTTCTCCATAAGCATTATCTATTCATTGAATATGTCATTCCTCCATGACAAGACTAGGATACCAATCATACCATATTGGTTAAGTGTCAAATGGATTACTTTTCTACTCTGTAATTGATACAAAAATGAAATTTAGACATTTAGAACAAAGAAAATTTGGATATTGGATTATAGCATCTGTTACATGTTATCAGCCTTATGCATGTCATCAACTCAACTCCATGGTTTTAGATCGTTTGAGGCATACAACTCGAGGCAAGGTGGCTCAAAACCACACCTGAGGCTTGGACCAAGGACCTAGGACCTAGGACACGAGGCTTACACCTTGGTTCAATGAGGGGCTTTGGTAAGGCGTGAGGCGGTGTTGAGGTGTACGCATCAGATGATCTGCTTTGGTAATGGTTTTTTTGATATTTTTATAAGCTTTATGGCAGTATTAGTACTTCTCTTTATAGCGTCTTTTTTTTATTTTAGGAAGCTAAAAGTCCAAGCCCTTGGCCCCCATGTGTACTTTTAATATTTTAAAACCCCCAAAAGCTAGAATGTTGTTTCACCCTTCCTCTTCCTCCAAGCAACCAATTTTTCCACACCCTCTCAGCCTATCTCACAGTTTCACTCTTTCCTCTATCACGAACAACTGAAAAAGCTCCTCTTAGTGATTTAGTGTGTATATATATATATATATATATATTGTATATAAGTGTACATATATTTGTGTAGTATATATACATAATTTGGTGTATATGTATTTCCGCCTCGGGGATTGCACCTCGCCTTGTTGAAGGAAAACGCCTCGACGCCCGATTACGTCTTCTAAAACCTTGCTAAATTCAACTTCATTAATTGAGCACTTGTACAGATCAACTCAATTCCAAGATATGTAAAACTTTAGCAGTAGCCTATAATTCTTGATGTACCTTTAATCCCAGCTGCAATAACTGCAGCAAGAACACCACCATCAGCAAGCTTATTTGGGCCAAATCCGTCGTTCTCTGTTGCCAAGCACCGTAGTGAAACCTCAATGGAGCAACTGTCCTTTGTAGATATAGATACATTAACCTGAAGATATGAACATACAGTTATTCCACACACCACACAAATTGTGATGGATAAATATCATCTGCCTTTTGTATTAGAATTAAAAGTGAACATACCAGCAACTGACGATCTGATACAACTTCCTCGCTTACTGAAGAATAGAAGGCACTTGTCAGTGCTGTGCACAAGGTGGCATCAGGAGACATACATTCACCAGAAGGTAGGCAGAGCATCGCAGTGGCATGCAATTCAAGGTTTGTAGGTTCCATTAGTTCATAGATATGATCCTCGGTAGGAACCAACCACGGATTTTCTTTTCCTATTCAAAAATTAACAATTATTCAGGTGAAAAAAGAAACGCAAATGTTTGTGAAGATGAGTATGCGTTGAATGTTTGTTCCATGTGGTGAATGGACTCACTTAGTAGCAATGTCATTGATGAGGATAATGTTTCCATAGCTACCACCGTTGCTCTCTGTTTTTCTTCATTTGAAACGTCAGGGGGGTCGATTTCAGCATTTTCTAACTCAACTTGAAGCCAGTTGCGGTAAGTTGCATCACAGGAGTAATACTCGTTCTAGTAAATAACACACGTTAAGAGTCTTTACATGTTATCAATTAGCATTTAACAAAATCGAAAACACAATCGTACATGGGTTTAGAAGAATACCCAATCCTCGAACTCTCTCAAACTATCAGAAATCTCGTGGTCCTCTGGAGAAAACAGAGTTTCTGACGGATGTTTCAAAGGCTCAGCAAGTAAACTAAGCAATGTATGAGCGCCAATGGGCATTGCTGGAACCCTCCACATGGAAATTAGAGCAAACTCCCTGAAAAGTACATTGCTGAAACAAGGCAGCCAGTTTTGATACCAAATATTAGCAACAGTCAGTAGAAGGCGGCATTATCATGGTGACGTGTGGTAAATCCACCCCAAGCAATAATTAAGAACTAGAGCTGCCATGGGAGGGACGGCCCGCTAGACCCGCCCTGTCTGGTCCGCTAGAAAAGCGGGCTTGGATTACCAGTCTCAAAGAAATGGGCGGGACTTACTGACTTGTTAAAATTAATGGGCGGGTATGGGAGATGAAAAAAAATTGGCCAGGCCTCCCGGCCCATTAATATTTTTATAATAATTAACTTTTATAATTAAAATTTCTTGATACTTATAAAATTTCCACTTAATTATGACTCATGATAATAACACACTTTAAAAAATCTAAAAATATTTTTCTCTCATTTGATCACTTCCTTATCATCTCATTTGGTCATTTCCTTCATCAATACTCCATATTTTGTGAAACAATTTTTTCAAATTATGTACATTGTTAACTTTGAGTTGGTAAAATTGTTATGTATTTTGAATTATTTTACATAACTTATGATTTTATATAAGTTCTGTTTTCTTAAAAAAAATTAGGCCCATTACCCTGTGGGAAAGCCCAGCCCGTTTATAGGGTGGGTATGGGCGAGTTTTCAAGCCTGTAAAAAAGGGCGTGGTTTGTCATATTAGGCCCCTTGGCCCCAAGCCTGCAAATGATCAACTCTATTAAGAACCAATACCACAAAAGCGCAGTAAAAACAGAACTTACATCCATTAAGAATTACAGCAACGAATTACCTGTGCATCAAAGCCCGGAGAAGAAGTTTAGTGCCAACTCTCATGGCATCATTAATGGTGGAGGGAGGTGTAAAGCAAAGCCATTGAATGACCATAGCTTTTTGAAGACTCTGCAACCGACATTGCTCGGCAACATCAGATGACCCATCAAAATTTCCAACTTTCACTTCTCGTGATCTTGATAAAACCCTGTTATAGTAACAGGAAACAGAAGATGAAGCCAGCAATAAAAGAAGACCAAAAGAAGTGGTTGTAATGTCTATCTCGAGATGTTTATAAATGATTAAGAGAAAACTAAGAACCTCTCAATAATTTCTTCAAAACTTCCTTTTTCAAAACTGCCATTTGAATCTCCGGGAGAAAATGGCAGGTACTCTATAGCAGAAAGAAAGATTTTATATCTGACATGAACACTGCCAACATAAAAGCATGAAAAAACAACATTAAAATTTATATCAATAGAAAATAAAACAAAGAAATATTCTTATCATTTCTCAACTATGCATATCATATTCATATGTGAATGATAAATATTAGATAAATACATAAAAAGTTGAATAATCAGTTAATCTATTTGTCATGGAATTATCGAGTTAGGATACCTATCTAAGTGATCATTTTGGAAAGATCACCATTGATATCATTAACAATAGTCCAGTACATTCTGCATAAATAATTATGACGACGACAGCAGCAATTGTAGTTCTTCCACTATCCCAAAAAATAGCACTTTGACTAGGCACAAATTTTACATGCCCCTTGGTAAGACAAAATTAGAAATACTGGCATACCAAATAGGAAAATTTTGAATGGTATCTTACTAACAAGGAAACCATTGCATATTTATGAGACCAGTATGGCAGTAGCCGGTATGAGCCATCCAAAATATCCAAGTCTCTTGTTTTTTAAAGTTATAAGAGAAGAAAACTTAAATAGTCCACATCTTCCTTTTGACAGGCGAAACAGTCCACATCTTTTAAAAAAAAACATGCCCAACTTCCTTGTTATTGCCCATAAAACTACTGACATAAGGGAATTAGTCGAACTTAGTCATCCCTTTAGATCAAACACATTTTAGCAAACTTTACTCCCCACAAACTTCACAACAAGAGCAACATCTACTATACTACTTGGATTCAAGAATAATGTAAGCATTTATTGTTCATAAGGTACTATAAATGGTCAGCTATAAACCCACAAAATCAATAAATTACATAAAAATTGAAGTAATCTTTCAAAGGGTATAGTCTAAAGCAATGTACTTTATTACCAAGCGACTTACATGTCAGACCTGGCCAATGTAATTTAGGATATCAAGCATGACTATAGAATACATGTCAAGCATTGTAAAAACCTTGCCAGATGAGGATCTAGAATCAATTATGTTTGATGTCACCATTATATAAACCTAGATTTTGGAACTAGACTAGGCATGAACGGTAATTTTATATGCCGCAACATGTAAGTTTTACTAATTCAGTTTTTCTGGTAGTAGGTGGGAGGGCAAAAAAGTAGAAAGTCTAATGCACTTTACACGAAAGCAAACCACAGGGCTTGGACCTTGTCACATAACAATGGGGCTGAATTGGGGATATATGCATTGCTTAATCAACGACCCTTCCAAAATAACTTAATATTATCATCTTAATCACCTATCTAAATATCGTTAGTCCTAAAGAGGGTGTCTCAACTAGGTAAAGTGAACAAATGATCAAGAACACTATAGCCAAACGCTTAAGCTTAAAATCAGGAGATCAAAACCAGAGTTCTGATTCCTCATTGATTCACCTGCCATTCAGCCGTAACTCCATCATATGCACAAACAGATCAATGCAACGGTGGCGTGCAAGCTGAGATGCATAGATTCCAACCAACTCCTCGTGCTGTTTTGAAAAAAGATACATCGCGTACCTGCCAATACTCATCCCAATTAGATAGCACACATTATAGATAGCACGTATAAAAGCTGCTTCATGTTTCAGAATGATGATTTAGTGTTAAAATTAATTTAAAATGAGAACCATAGCAAGTACAAACAATTGATTGCTGCTTAATAGGCGAACTAAAATTAACTATTGAACATTTAAATTCTCTATGATGCATAAAACAAATTTCAATGATTCAGTGTACCTGTTGTTGTAAGAAACAACAGTTAAATACCTTTAAGATGAAAATACTCACATGTGAAGAATGAGGTCACCAAGAGCTGTCGTCTTCTCCTTGAAAGCATCCTTCATTTCATCGGCAAGCAAGTGACGGAGGACGAGAACTAAATGTGCCCCAAAACGGATCATCTGAGGATCACCATGAGGCCTGGCAGGAATCACAATTTCCAGAATAAGACAGGGCCTCAGTAACAAACCCATTGAGTTCAGGAATGACGGGCAGTCTTTGCATATGTAAAAAGGCATTATCTTTACACTTTAAAACACCACTGGAGTTAAGAAACTCACACATGTTTAAGGCATCCACATCCCATACAGCTATTCTATATACTGGACAACATTAAAACTTATAGTTATGGAATAAAAAAAGACTGTGACAACATTATTCTCTTTCCATGATGAAACGATATTCTTTGGATATTTTGTCATAATAATAGTATAATGTCCTGAATCTCTTTGTTCAACCTTGATAATAGTCCAGAATAAACGGATATCATCTAGATCGAAATCCAGCCACATCAATCTAAAAATGGACAATTGATTACTACATTACCTGAAGATATCTTCATCGCCTCCCGAAGGGGATATCCATGACCAAATAAGGTCAAGTAGACGAGGAATATCTCCCAACATTAGACTCATCTGTTCAAAAGTCTTGGGTCAGAGGAAGTATCAAAAGAAGTATAGCCTCATAATAAGTGAAATGGAAATGTTCATCAAGTATTCACATCTCCATTTTGAGATGATTTGGTAAAGAGAAGACTTGTACAAAGTAGGGAGTGTCAAGAGAAAGTATTATGCCAAGCTAATCAATTCAATAAATTTCCCAAAGTGACTAACAAACAATTGATCTAATTAACAAATTCATCATATGATGAACAGGCTTAACAGACACAAAAAAAGCATTACGGAAAAGGTTCCTTTTTTTGAGGGTACTCCCGGGAACAGATCCAGTGGAGACGGAGTGGGGCCTGTAGCTCAGAGGATTAGAGCACGTGGCTACGAACCACGGTGTCGGGGGTTCGAATCCCTCCTCGCCCACAACCGGCCCAAAAGGGAAGGGCCTTTCCCTCTGGGGGTAGGAAAATCATGATCG